GCACATATTTTCCAGATTTACTGAATTTGATAAATCTTATTTAACGTAAATCCAGGTTGCAACCCAACACCGCTCAGATGTTCATGGTTAGACTCATTAGTTTGATTCTATGCAGCTCGATATAAAAGAAAATAAAATGAATATAAATTTATAGATGTAATTGAAAAGGAACCACTTTAGAAAGTAATTTGATAGAAATCTATCAATCGTTACTATTAGTGATTGGAGAATTGAAATAAATGTTATCATAAAGTATATTTTACTACTGTGAATGATGACTAATAAAATATAAATAGGCTTAAATAATAATTTTTTAATTTATTAAATAGGACAACAGAATAAAAACTATTTTTTCATGAAGACTTCTAACTTCCCATGTTAATCAATTATACTCTCTGGAAAATTGTGGTTAAAACCTAATTTGATGCAACCAAATCATACTCAAACCTGGCATTCCAAGCTCAGTCAATCTAACCTAGTATGTAATGATTGTAGCAAATGTATCAATGTAAAGTTAAATACAATGATATATATATAATGATTTTTCTTAATGAGAAGAAAACATAGAGTTTTCTCTAATAATTGGAGCATGCCAACAAGTCATGCCTCTCCTTGGTCGGAGGACTACTTTTCCTCAAGGTATTTTTTTTTTCTTCGATAATAATTTCTCTTCTAATGCTCATGGACACATTTTCTTCAACATTTTAAAGTGATCATAGAACCTTTTCCATTCGATAAAGCTTAACCGATCAAATTCATAAGAACCTCCATAAGGCTCTTAGCCAAGATTATTAGGCTATCTCAAGCAAGTCTAGCATCCGCTCCTTTCACAAAAGCTTAAATAACTTGAACCTCTGCCAAAATTTCTATATCAAAATTAGAAATCCAAAGCTATGTTTCTATAATTACAACCTCACATGAATTAACCACCTTTAAACCCATTATAAAGGAGTTAAACTATATCATCTCAAATTTGGTCTCTTTAAGTTAGTCTTTGTTTTTCAACCTTCACAATACAATAAAGAGAATCCCCTTTCACCATCTGCTCAAGATTACACATCCATATCTGAAATAACCATCTATTTCCATCTCAAGCCATCACTTTATTGAGAGAGCATTTTACCATCATCAACAATATTATAATAGCAAAGCTTGGGAGGATAATTATTAATTAATACCTTGGAAAAAATTTTCTACTTACATAAAGACTTGAATTTACTGAGACCATATCTCTCATTTCTTTCCCCAAAAAATAAAATAATAAATATGATCTAGAGAGTCCATAAAAGTTTTAGGTTTTCATTTAAAAAATGATGGCTCAAGCTCAAGCCACACAAGTAAAAATAATAATAATAAGCAAAAAAATGTATTTAAGTATACCATTAATGTTAGAAAAAATACATTTAAATTTTAAAAAGTAATAGATAAAAATTTGTCATATTATTTAACAGCGTTATATTTTAATTTCTTAAAGTTTATTTATTGTAATTGAAATAATTATTTCAACTTGAAAATTCTAAGTTTTCTAAACTTAACCATTTTTTTTTATAAAAAAGCTTAATATATTAAAAAATAACCAAAAAAATAATAAAATTAGTGTTCTAACAAAATCATAAATTTGAATTTTGAAAATGCTTTGATTTTATTAGATTCAATTGATTCTTTAGAAGAGATTGATATTTTAAATTTCATACATTTCATTAATAATAATAATAATTTTAATTATTTAAATATTAGCTGCTTTTACTAAAATTTAATTAGAGATTAATTTGAAAAGTTCTAATAAGTTATTATAGCAACTTTATGTAGCCATTTTATAGCTATTTTAAAAGCATTTGAAACAAGTTTTTTATAAACATTGGCAAAATTTTCAGATGCTATAAAAAAGATATTATGGAGTATTAGATGCAAAAGTCTTCTAAATACCCTCCCACATTTCTTACTTCTCAATTTTTTTTTAAGGTAACATATTCTTAGGAGATAAGATTTAAGGGCAGATCAAAATCTCTCTAAAAGCTTGAGATTAAACAAAGCCATATTATTTGCAATATTTTGGAAGAACTTTCAACTGATTGTAAGAAAAAAATCACTTTTAAGATTTTATGTTTTATTTTCAATACTAAACTTTTGCTAGTATTAAATAGTTTGAGCTTTTTTTCATTATCCTTTTCATAACTTATAAAAATTTTTAAGAAATCAATAATATTTTGTTAAACTTAGTTTTTGTGTTTCTCTTTGCCGAAAAGAAAACATAGATTATAATGGTTTTATCTACCTTAAGAAGGATGCCAAATTAAGAGTTGTAAGATTGAAAAGGTGGAATCCTAGATAAGGGAGTAAAGGGAATGACAATTGCATAAACTTTTGTGTGCTATCTCTTGCTATTTATTACTTACTCCAACAAATTTCATAAAATAATTTCTTTTTAGCAAATAAAAATTATAGTTTCACACTCATTTTATTTTTTATAATTACATACAAATTTAAAAGAGCACCAATTCAACATCTTCCCCTCATAGCTGAGACATACATTTTATTTGTATGAGATCCTTAGCTCTATTTTTTCAAATAAATTGTTAATAAAAAAGTCCACTCATATGGCACACAGATTACTCTTTAGCAATATTGATGATAACTCTACCGTAAATCTTTCATTTTTAGATAATAAAATTATATTTAATTATTAAAATTTTTCTACTTGTGAATTTTATAAAGAATGAAATCATTGCAATTTGAATATGTTAACCTTAACATATAAACCATTAGTAAGGATTTAAATTCTAATGTGGACATCAATTGGGATAGAGCATAAATAAATAAACTCTAAGGCCAAGAGTGATTTATATAGTGCCTTAAAGCATGGTTATTTGATACTTTCAACGCTTGAAAATACTAAAGATATTTTTGATAAACTTATAATAATTTATGAATGAACAAACTTGTTTAGAATAAAATCTTACGAGTCTTTTAGTGATAAGCATGTAAGATTAACAAAGATTTCAAACTCATTATACTTATTATATATAATACAGATAAATATGTATTTGGTCTAGAAAAATTTTCATTACTAATTTAAAGATCTAGTTCCCGAGGAAACTACATTTAAGGAATCTATTAATATTTCTAATTATTCACTTGATCAATTGTGACATTCTCATTAAGTTGATGAGCGAACAATAAAAGAAAGAGAAGAAGAAAAAAATTTAAAGTGGAAAGAAAATATAATGAAAAATTAATAGCTTAATAGATTGAAGATTAAAATATAACTTCATGTAAAACTAATAGAGAGACAATTGAGATAGCTATTCTATATAGATGATTAGGATCCATATTGAAGAAAAGACAAATGATGTATGGAGAAGATAAGAACTTATGTTTATAAACAATAATGCTTATAAAAATGATGGCATAAGGTGCTTTAATTGTGTAAGAAACTTGAGCATATTAAGTGGGATTGCCCTAACTTGGTTAATGAAAATAAAGCATAAGAGAAGAGAAATGATAAGAAAGAGAGAAAACAAAAAAGAAAGGGGTAAGAAGAATATCATATGGGCCAATTGAGATAATAATAATTTCTTCTTTCAAATATTTTGATGAAGAGGTAAACATATGTTTTATAACCAAAGAGACGAATTTCTATCATCAAGTATGTTTAAAAAAAAAAACTTTTAATGAATTTGATAATTTATTTTAAGGGTTTTCGAAAGAATATTAAAAATTAAGGATAAAAATTTTAAAATTATTAAGAAAATAAATAAATCTAACTATGCATTACAACAAATTAAATATAATTACGATATTTAAAATAAAATTACACTTGTGAAAATGTTTTATTTAACATAAAAATTAGAAAGCAAAATATTTTACTAAAGGTTGAATTGGATTTTTTTTTTTTCAAAGTCTCATTTTAGCACAAAAATAAATACTAACACTTCATACGAAGGGTCTAATGATAAGAATTATTCTCATACACATTGTACACATTATTACACTCAATATAATCGTCATCAGAAGCTATATGCAAACATCAATATTTTGTGTAATTTCTATTACAAACAAGCATACATTTATACAAATTCTCATGCAAGCCTTGCATAGTTTCATGTATATTCATTTGATGTTTGGAACCAAGGAGTGTTATTCCTACACAAATAATACATATTACATCTAAGGCATATAATTTGAAGGGGGATCAATAGAAGTTCAAGTTCCCAATTTAACTCATGTTTTTTAATAAGGATGAATTTTATCTAATACAAATGAAATCAAATGGTACTTGAATAGTGGATACTTAAGGTACATTATTGAAGATAGAACTAACTTTGCATTTTTGGATTTAAATGATGATGGTTGTCACATTTGGCGATAATAATAAATAAAATTTATTAAATTCAGACTAGTATGTAAAAAAAATCACCATTAACATGATTAAATTCATTATTGCATTAAACATGATTAAATTTTTATAAATTAATTATGTTATAATGGGTTAGAAGTTTCATTTTTGCACATCCTATTGTGTTATAAGAGAAAATATTTAACATTGCTTTACTAAGGAATGAGTTTGATAATTTATTATTATTTGATATGAAAATTAGAAGTAGTATAAATTTTATTTGTTTAAAATCCAACATAGGTTATGCTTGATTATGGCATAGAAGGTTATGCCATTCAAGCATGCTTACACTACAAAAAATTATAAAATTGAATTCTAGAGTTGGACAACAAATACTTAATTATGATTTTTATCATACTTATGATGCTTACATGAATGATAAACAAACTAAAAATTAATTAAGAGTAAGACTATTTTGATAAATACTAGAGCATTAGAGTTACTTCATAGATATCTATTTTGACCTATTAACACAATTAGCTTAAAAGTTAAAACTTCATTATGTTTTGCATTAGAGTAAAAATTTCATTATTATTTTGTGACGAGTTCGAATCGCATGTATTACTGTTTTGGCTCACCTTCCTAGCCAAAAAAAAATCCCCACCTATTGACTTGCCCCTAATTTCCATTTTAATCTTTAGTATTAAATAAGAAGCTTGTCTATGAAAAGTAAGAGACTGTATTTAAATCCTTCTATCTTCCAGGCTAAACAAGTAGGACCAAGCTTTTCTTCCCCTTCCATCTGGGAGTTGAATCATCTTGCAGAAAAGGTTGCCAGATCAGGTTCTCACCATTCTTGGCCACTTTTGGTGCTTCACTCTCCACATAACGCCCCCAGGTGACGAGATACAAGCCAAAGATGATCAGAACTCCACCAATAGCACTTGAATCACATCATGTAAGTTAGCATTAATAACTAAATTAATGCATATGCAAGCTTAATATAGAATTAAGGGAAAGCAGCACGGCAAAGTTAAGTTAATCCAGAATTCAATTCATGGGAATGGATGCAACCTTCCAAGGTAGATGGAGCTTCCGAGAAACATTGTTGACAGAAAGGCAGACATCGCGGGCTGAAGAGGATTGTATAACGCTACCAAAGCCGGTCCCAATATTTTGTTGGACCATGCTATTAAACTATAGTTGACGGAAGAAGAAAAAATTGCCTGGAAGTAAAAAAGCTGAACTGTTAGACAATTCAAATGTTTTGTGGTGATATCATCTGCCAATGTTACATTTAACTGAATATTTTCTGACAACACATTTCTTAATTTGGGGGAAGTTAGCTGGAGAATGAAATTGTTTAAAAATTAACGATTGGAAAGAACTATGATTATGGTCATTGCCACAATGATAAGTAGTATACCCAACCTTCGAATGACATGTACAGGTCATTGGTTAAGGATGGGCAAAAAGGGGAGTCTCATTGAAACATTTTTTAAGGTAGTTCAAAAAATTAAACAAAGCAGTATTCAGGATTCTACTTGCCCTTCAGATGACAATAAAGTGAAATAAAAATTCAGAAAACTATAACTTTTATCCCATCCACAAGTGCGAAAAGCACTGTATGACAGGAAATGTCTGGGTCTTTGCCAGGCCAAACTCACCATCGCCGGAGTCACCCCAGCAGCCCGCTCTCCCAATCAGTCGACCACCTGGGCCGGCCAACTCCACAAGCTGTCCGGCCACCTCCACAAGCCGGCTAGCCACACGGGTAGGCCTCCTTGGTCCGGCCGCCGACAGCAACCCGGCCAGCCACACACTTCCGCCGGCCGACCCCCCTTTCCAATAACACTTTTGTAATATTACTTTTTACTATTTACCTTAAAAGAAACTTGTAGCATGTAAAAGAATTGCGGCTCTGTCTCTTTCTTCTCTCTTCAGCTCTCCTCTCCTCTCACCTCTATGAAGGGAGAACTCTCCTTTCCTTGTAATCATCTCTTCGTGAATAAAATAGGTTAAAGAGCTCAAGAACACCCATCTTCGCCCGCCATGGGGCAAACCTTTCTCTCTTTCTTTCTTTTTCCCTTATATGTCTTGGGTGTTGTGTTTGTGGAGCCAAAGCACCCAGTTTTTTCCAAAAAAAGAGGGGCGCATGTAAGGCATTGCTTCTTTTGGGCGCAAACAAAGAAGGGGGCTTTTTGCCATACTTGGGCTCCCAAACGCCCAACTATGCAGGGCGCGATGCACTTTCGTACCCGATGTAGTCATCACTATTTGTTGGTTTTAATACCAAAATTTAGAGTGGTGTAATGTATGTGCTGGGTGTAGGTCCTCCTTTGGTGTTTTTAACAAGTTCCTGGCGAAGAAGAGGATTTCCAGAATCTACGCATGTGTTTTAGCACTTTGGACCTCAGAACAGGCAAACACACCTGAATCATTCGTTGTGGGTAGCTCTTGTAAACATTCTTTTGTGGATATTTGACACAATCTATTTCGATCCGATTTTGTTTGGATATATGTGTTTGACCTATCCTAGCGAAGTTTGTCGCACAGATGTTCTCCATATTATTTCTCTTATTTTTCTGTATTTGTCATAAGTCCTACTTTTCTGATTCATCTCTTCTCATGATCATTCATTTGATCTAAAAAGATAAACTTATTCAGAAAAAAGAAATATACAATGATAAATAAACTGACGACTCTTTTAAAAATAAATAGAGAAAAGAATGAAAACATGATGTTGAATGAAGAAGTTTGCAGAAAACCAACAATGGTGAATCTTTAGGTTATGCATTAAATGTTGATAGTAGATGAAGGAATCTAGGCAGGAATACTGGCAGAGGCAAATCGAAGTCCAAGAATGGAAAGCTTAAGTCAAGCGAAGGAGAATGTTGGAACTGCAGTAAGAATGGGCGTTTCAAGAAGGATTGCAAAGCTCCAAGGAAAACTAATGATGGAGGACAAGAAATTAGCATCTCTAATAGTGTCTCTACTGGTGAAATCCAACGTGAATCTCTGGTGTTATCCCTAGTAAGAACTGAATCATTGATAGTAGATTTAGGTGCCTCTTTTTATGCATGCCACAATAAAGAGGCATTTAAAAACTATACTTAGAGTGATTTAGGGAATGCTTATCTTAGAGACAACAAGGCTTGAAGTATAGTAATAAAGGGTGATGTTGATATCATGTTGCCGAATGGAATAGTCTGAAAGCTTACTGAAGGTAGAAATATTCCAAGTTTGAAGAGAAATCTTATCTCTTTGAGTCAGATGTTAAAGTCAAGACTTGTGATTACTTTCACAGATGATTCATGGAAGGTAACTAGGGGGCATTAGTGATGGCTTGACGTAACATTGAAAACACCCCGTTATTTGATCAATGAAATGACTATTGATGTGGTTTGAACCAGGATGGATGTAGTTCTGTGGCATTGAAGGCTTGACCATAGGAGTGAGAATGGTATGAAGTCCCTACTTTCAAAGAAAAAGCTTCAAGGTTTGAAATAAGTTGATTTGGATTTCTATGAAGGCTGCATATATGGAAAGCAGAAGAATGTTTCCTTCTCCAAGATTGGGTCAGTGGTGAAATAAAAAAAAAACTAGAGTGAGTGCATACTAATGTATGGGGGTCCTACTCCAGTTCAGTCCATTGGTGGTTCTTGCTATTTTGTTATGTTCACTAATGATCCCACAAGAAAGGTATGGTTTGTTTCTTAAAACAAAAATCTGGTGTATTGAAAATGAAGTGGAAGTTCATAGTGATCAGAAGTTCAGGAATTTTAGTGCTATATAGGGGGTCGGGCATGAGTTCACTGTTCCAAAGATACCGCAACAGAATGATGCAGCTAAGCACATGAACAAAACTATTACGGAGCATGCTAGTAGCATGAGGCTGCACACAGGCTTTCCAAAATAGTTTTGGGTTGAAACAGTTAACACTGCATTTTATCTATATAACCGCAGTCCATTAGTACCTTTGGAGGAAGGCTTATCTAAAGAAGCGTGGAGTGACAAAAGGTTATGTCTATCTCATTTAAGAGTAGTTGGGTGTTCTCAATATATTGATGTTGATGCATGGTTTCGGAGTAAGCTTGACTCGAAATCTATCGAGTGCAACTTCATTGAGTATGACTCAGATGAGTTTGAGTACAACTTTTAGGATTATCCAAATAAAAAATTTATCAGGAGTAGATACATCGCTTTTAATGAAACGAATATATACAATTACAGGGTCAAAACTTAGGATAGTTTGTCAACTACTTTTGAAGAATTCAAATATATGTAGATAGTGAACGGGAAGATATATAAAAAAGAAGTGCTCAACCAGGAAGAGCACTGAAAGTTCCTCAGTCATCTACTGCAGAAGTCAGAAGATTCAACATAGTGATAGGACTTCGTACATAGGTATTCTCCTTCTTTGCACTATTTGTTACAACTGATAGTGGTGAACCAGATTGCTTTGAAGAAGCCACTCATGTTGAACATTCAAAGGAGTGGGAGCTCGCCATGGATGAAAACATACAATCCTTGGGAGATAAATCAAACTTGGGATTTAATGGTCACTACACAAGCCATGGATGAAAAAATACAATCCTTGGGAAATAAATCAAACTTGGGATTTAATGGTCACTACACAAAAAGTGGGTCTACAGGCTGAAAGAAGAGTCAGGTGATAGCACTGCTACAAGGCAAGATTTTTTGTGAAGGGTTCCAACAGAGGGAATGAGTGGATTATATAGAGGCCTTCTCCTCAGTGGTGAAGATGATGAATGTCAAGGTTGTACTGAGTTTGGTATCATAAGAAGATCTACATCTAGAGCGGATGGATGTAGAAATATATTTCTAACATGGAGATCTAGAGGAAGAGTTATATATGATGCAACTACAAGGTTATAAGGTTTCAGACAAAGAAGGTTTGATCTGTAGAATGAAGAAGAATGTCTATGTCTTGAAGCAGGCTCCAAGACAGTGGTATAGAAAGTTTGATAGGTTCATATCAAACAACGGGAACTTCTAGTGTCAGGCGAACCGCTATTGCTTCATCAAAAATTTTGGTAACTATTATTTTTTGTTACTTTTATATATGGATGACATGCTGATTACAGGGGCTGATATTGAGAAAATTGGAGACTTAAAAAATAATTATCAAGTGAGTTTGACATAAAGAATTTAAGTCCAACTAGGAAGATCTCGAGATGAGAATTGACAAAGACAAGAGTGCAAGAGCACTGAAGTTGTCTCACACAGGATATGTTGAGGCTCAACATGAGTGAGGCGAAACTAGTTGCACTCTCTTAAGTAGTAACTTCAAGCTTTCTAAGAAGCTATCACCTAACTCTGCATCAGAGCATGCACAGATGGAGAGAACTCCATATGCTTTAACAGCTGAAAGTTTGATGTATGCAATGATTTATACCAGGAAAGATGTTGCATATGCAGCAAGAGTGGTCAGTAGGTTCATGGGCAATCCGGCCAAACATCATTAGGAGACGATGAAGTGGATTCTCAAGTATTTGAGGGGAATGGTCAACAGAGCACTTTACTATGGAAGTGCAGGGATCAATTTAAAGGGATTTGCAGATTCTGTTATGGTAGGAGAATGGGTATATCCTTACATTGGAGATCACAATGGTGAGTTGGGTTTTCAAGTTGTAGAAAATCGTTGCACTTCAACTATGGAGGTCGAATATATTGTTATCACTGAGACTAGCAAGATGATGATTTGGATATAGAGTTTCATTGCGGAATTAGGCAAGGAGCAAAGGATTGAAAGACTCTACAGTGACACTATGACTGTGACTATTCTTACTAAAAATGTTGTTTTTCGTGCCGGAACGAAACACATTCAGCTGAGGTATCATTTCATTCTCTCTTTTCTTGAAGATGGGCAGTTTTTCTTGGAGAAGATACATACATCTTAGAATCCTGCAGATATGTTGACGAAGGTTGTCATTATCGAGAAACTGAAGCTATGCTTGGTTTCATTTGGGTTTAATGAAGGTTAAGAATAAGTTTGAGCCACACCACACTATGTGACCACAATACGGGACTATGAAGATGATTCAGATAGAGGTGCAGGGACAAAGGACTAGTGTTGGGTGTTATTGTCTCCAAGTGGGAGATTGTTGTATTTATGGAGCTAAAGCACCCAGGTTATTCCAAACTGAGAGGGGCACTTTTGTGCCCCATTTAGGTCCCTAAGTGCCCATGTATGGGCACTACTTCTTGAGGGTGGCTCTTATGAGCCCACTATGAGCACTTTTGCGCCTTCTGTGGGTACTTTTGCGCCCAGGCTTCGGCGCAAACAGAGAAGGGGGCGCCTTTAAGCCCCCACTTTGGTGCCCCAAGTGCCCAACTTAGCTGGTCGTGATCTTTTCTTACCCGAGAGATGGGCGCTTTTGCACCCAGATTGGGCGCTTCTACACCCGATGCAATTACTACGATTTTTTGGCTTTAAGGCCAAAAGTTTGAGCAGCGTAATGTGTGTGCTGGGTGTAGGTCATCATTTATGTTTTTCAACAAGTTTCTGGTGATGGAGAGAAGAGTTGGAGAAGAAGATTTCTGAGATCTGGGCGTGTGATTTTGGCGTCGGATCGATGAAGGAGGATTGTGGAGCGTGTCCTGTAAGTTTTCTTGTGTGTAGAGAGAAAACTGGTGTAAGTTCTCTATAAAAACTTTCTGAATATTATAGTGAATTTCTTGGTTGTGTGACTCTATTGTTTTTACCAGTTCTCGGGTTTTTCCACGTAAAATTCTCATGTGTTTTTTTTTTTGTTGTTTTGATTGAGCTTTCTGTTCAATCTTTGTTTTCCATTTTCTCAAATTTGTGCGATAATGTTATTCCGTGGTGTGGTTTAGTTTACTAATTAATCTTAAGCCCCGATAAAGTTGGGAATTGTTTGGTATATTTCCTGTCATTGGGCATGATCTACATATAGATCTAGATTCAACAGACACAAAACTAATAAATTAGAATTATACGTACCAGTTTGCAAAAACTTTCCATATCCACTTGTTTAAAGGTCCCAACTTTTTACAGGTAATGACTCAAACAGACATGTTCATAATTTTTTTTAGTGCACAAATGTGTGTGAGTGAATAGGTTTACAAAGCCTCAATAAACTCAGCTGACCATTTCAAACAAATCAAAAGCTGAAATTCCTAAGCATACAAACTTGGTCAACAACAAAAAAACCAAAAGCAGCTTCTATAATCAATCAGTTTGGGAATACTTAATGAAGTGAAACATTTCCAGTGAGAAAAGAACTCTTGCAAAGAAATGTTGTTGATTTTCTTGCTTTTACTTTACTTCAAAACGAATTTAGCAATAAAAGAAATAGCCTCTTAAGGAATCGAGGCATGAATTCCCCCTCTAAAAAAAATACTGAAGATAGTCATAAACATTATAAAGAGCCAAAACTTACACCATAAATAATTGCAATTATCTCTGACTTTGTCAACATCCAATCTTCATAATCATTAGCAGCGAATAATCCAGAAAAAACCATTAAGAGTGCCCCAAATAAATAAATGTATGCTGTTAATGACAAACCAGCAGGATACTTCACCAGAACTTTAGCCTGAAATTTTCAAAACATACATTTACATCAAAGAAGATATATATATATATATATATATATATAGGGAGGCAGCCTTTTATAAAAGAGAGGGAAGTCTAGGGCTTGAATAGAAGAGTTTTGGGTGTGTGTGTGTGTGTGTGTGTGTGTGTGTTTGGCGGGGTTACAATAAGTCCCCTCAGGTCAAGGGTTCGAATTTCCGTGGCACGGTAATCGTCGAATAATAGCACATGACGCGATATAACAGATATATATATTGGGCCAAACCAAATATTTTGGATGATTCAAATGACAAGGATGATGAAAAAATTGTTCATAATGAATAAATGAAATACTAAAAAAGATCTCAAACAATAAGATCGGCACATATTTTATAAAATACTTACCTGTGATACCAGAAAAATAGCCATGCATAAGCAGTTACCGATCAAGCACAATGCACCAATATGCCATGTTTCAATACCATATTTCAGTAAGGCGGATGGCAACCATTCAACATTCTTGGACAAAGCCCCTGTAGCCATTTCACTGTGCAATACTACCTCTAGCTTGCCGTCCCCAACTAATACTGCACCTCTATAAATCAGCATAACTACTGCACCAGAAATACATGCAGCAGTGCCTAAGATCTTACTCCGGCCCTCTCTTGTTGAAATTTTAATTTTTTCTATACTGCAGCAAGTCAACAAGCAATAACTGAGTTAATAAAACAACACTAATGGCAGAAGCTAAAACAAATTGCTGAAGGAGATGGAGTAACCCCATAAACGATGCCATGATAAATGTGAAGACTGGTATTGCGGGCTGCATAGCTGCTGCATAAGTTGGGTTTGTGTAACCAAGACCAATAAGAAACAAGAGCTGGTTTCCACAAACCCTGTAAAGTATAACGACGACATTTATTTGTATGGCAGTACTGAATGGAAAAGTGGAAAAAGGGATTGTCTATCAAGAATCAATCTTTAAGATATGAAGCCAAAATTACTTTGAAAACATATGAAAAGGATGTAATTACCCTGTTAAGCCAAGAAAGGAAAATGACAGGAGAAGCTGGTAAGTTATTGGAGGCCTGCTCTTTCTGCAAATAGACACGATCATGTTGTCAACAAAGCCAGCCGGGGACAATCAGATGTAATAGGTTTTAAGTAAAGTGCTGACAAATTAATACTAAAGTTGGGTCATTTGAGCTTGGTTGATTCCTAGTTCATCGTTCCCATTTTAAATAGGTAAAATATTCTTGAAGGTTATGAAGCACGCATAATTCAAAAAGCCCTTTGTGTTCATGTTTGAGGATCAAATAAATGTCGGACATGACACATGCTAATACATGTCTGGCATACTAAAATCTCTGCTTGGTATGTTTTACTCCAAAACTCATAGATACTTTGCACATGCCTCAACAAAAACAAACACGCAAAGCTATTTGAATTTCAATAAATTGTCTTTACAATGGAGGGTATATAGGTCTCTCGATGAAGAATTTGTTGGGCACAATTAGTTTTATATAGATATATATATATATATATATGTATATATATAACCCAATAGCTAAAATATTAAATAGAAAGTAGGATACAGATAGATTGTGTGGGAGGGTCCAAACATGACAGCCTGCTCACACGATAGCCATCATATCAAATGGTTCCAAAAAAAAAATCCAGAAAAATACATGAGAGATCTAAAGAAAAAAACCAAAAAGTGTCAAAATACTGAGTATCAAGTAGCTAGAGAGCAACCCAATTTTGTCTTGTCTCTGTCTCTAGTTCTAGGAAAGGAGCCAACTAACAAATTGGTAAGATGAGTGTCATTGTCAGTAGTAACCAATGTGTCGTCCAATAATCCAATAAATTTCCGAGCTCGAGTCGGCCTCCATTCTTCTCTTTCTCCTGGAATAGACCTGCAATTCCTTATCCAAAGATTGGCTCACCTGATCAGTAGATTGGTCTAAGATGTGTTGGACATGTGTTAGTTGTTGAACATTAGAAGCAAAAATTTATTGTACCAACTGATCTTTTATCAGATCGAAGGAGCACTCTCATGAGTCTTGACATATAACTGAGTCTTCTTCAATAACAGTGAGTGTATAATCACATTTGGATTTGTACCTGTAGAATGATATTCTTCATCAGGAACTGCGGTGTTGGAAAGAGGATCGAGTTGCACCTTCTTAGCAGGGAAGCAGGGATGGTAGGTGGCTGAGGTAGATGACTGATCTTTAGCGATTGTTGGCCTAGATGAGAATAAAAACAATAGCAAATGGTAGAACTGTGACCAAACATACTACAATGAGAGCAATAAGAAGGGTGTGATTCTATTTGAACAATTTATCAATACCCGTTGTGAGTGGTGCTAATTCATACCTCATCAGGAGCTGGTTGAGTGATATCTCTCTCAATTAACACACAAGTCACATAGGGTCTGGTGACAGCAAGCGTAGAACTATCAACCTTGAGAGGCTTACCGTAAGTAGTTGCTGAGTAGAGAATTTCCAAGTTGAACATATGTAATTTTAGAACAAATGTAATTTTAATGTAATTTTAACCCATGAAACTTTATCCAAACAGGAGGATAGGGGATTCCGCTTTTGGATCAAAATGAACAGTCCACTTCAGAATTTTCATAAAATAATTGTCGATCTTGATAACTTTTTGAGAAAAAAATGCTAGTGTAATTAGCATCGTAAGACAACTGAATAAATACATGCCGACCGTCAATTAAGCTAATATTCAAACTGTCCAATAGCTCCATAGCATCAAACTATTTTCGAATGTTCTCCAGTTTTGGGTAACCATAAAGTAATTTCCCTACTGTAGCAAAAACGCCAAGAGGACGCGAGAGTGCTGGTTTCAACCTCAGTGAGAATAAGAGTATGCTTCCCATTTTTTTGCAAAGCTTTTTAATGAAAGTGTGATCACCACCACCTTCAATAGCGTCGTGGAAAGATTGATGAACATTGCAGGACTTGCTAATACGAAAACCAGGCTCTGAACCTAAAATAGGAGCACGAGTAGGAATAGGAAAGTCGTCGGCAAGTGCATTGGCATTGAACATTGCAGGACTTGCTAATACGAAAACCAGGCTCTGAACCTAAAATAGGAGCACGAGTAGGAATAGGAAAGTCGTCGGCAAGTGCATTGGCATAGGAATGCATTGTCGAGGCCATCTCCAGAACAACTAGGCGAGCCGCTAGAAATTCGGGGGGAACCTTCTGTCGGGCAAGACGACAGCGACGTCGTGGAATGCGGGAGAAGATGGCGCGAGCCGCGACAACTAAGGATGAAGCGTCGTCAACTGGTTGACGCTGCGAAAGACTCGCGAAACACAATCCCGCAAAGTCGCGCAGGACGACGCCAAAGACGATCCTTAACCGGCCGCACGGGCGCACTTCTGCAAAAGACGAGCCGCGAGGATGTTGACGCGCGATACTGATGAAAACAAAAGAAGATCGAGCGTGAGCAGTGGAGCAGAACCAGTGTTCGCCATAACGGCAAAACCCTAGCAGAGCGATATCGGGGAAGACGACCCCATCTATTGTATATATATATATATATATATATATATATGCATGTGTATTTTGGAAAATCAAACATTTTATTGTTTTTTTTTTGCTATCTTCATGCAAATAGAAAACTATTTTTAATTATCAAAACTAATGTTTGTGGATTGTTGGGCTTCGTGTATACTTAATGAAGTTTTAAAATAAATCTATATTTAAAACATTGCTAGTTTTTATTTCGTTAATCAATAATTTCTTATGCATGCATATGGTATTATATTTCATTGTGTAATGCTTTTTAATAGATAATTTTGACAATAAGATGTTCTAATAGAGTTTTTTATTTTAACAATTTATGAAATTAAAACGTTGTGTTGATGGCTTATTGTGCTTTACTTTTTATACTTATCTTACGTCGTGTGTGTCATATGTTAATTTCTGTGTTATATATCTTAAATGATGTGGTATTAGAAAGGTGTTTGATTCAGGATTATCTAATTGAAATGTTATAAAGTCCACCTTCCTAAATTTCCATAAAGTATTTGGATTGGATTAGCTAATCTGGTTTTGGCAGTGGCTAATATTCTACCTAAATGTGTATGGATGACAAGGCTTAGTTGAACCAAATTTGAACATTCAATTCAAATAAATCTAAATTGTCTAAGTCCATACTTTACTGAAGTTCTAGCTTCAAGAATCTAATTTTTAATTTGCTAACTTCTGCCCTTAGTGGGATAATAATATAGTTTAAAAAGCAGTAGGGCCAATTATAAAGAGTCAAAGCAAGAGGAGAATTGGAATAAATAGAAGAGTAGCAAAAATGACGGCCTATAAGCTTTAAGGTAATTTTGGATATGAAAAAAAATTGAATAATTAAATTTAAATTAACCAAAAATTTATTGGGATTGTTCCATGTTTTCTTTGAATTCTTAGAATCTCTTCAAGAAACTCAATAAAAAAAAAAGATAATTCATTTTCTTGACTATTCACCCTAACTTCTTAAATTTGAACTTTTCGTCACAAAACCTAGTGTAGTTTTTAGTAAATTTAGCTTTTTACTCAACTGTAATTTGTAACAAATTATTTACCCAATTATTTTGTAAGCTCCATATTTTTTTTTCTCTTCATACCCATTACTCCAACAAATAATAATTTGCATGCCAAAATTTTATGAGAAAAAATATGCAAGAAATATTTACACAATTATACTAATTTTAACATATAATTGTTATGTTAAATTAAAAAAAGGAATTTTGTACAATAAAAACATTTTACGTCACAAAAGGTACCAGACTATGCACAAAAAAACTCCATTTCCAAAGCAAAAGTTCTACACTTTAAAAATGAGACCGTATATTTTAAAAACAAGCTAATATTTATTGTGTAGAATAGCCAACATTTTACATGTGATTCTATATGGAGCGAATTTTTTATCTCATTCCCCCAACCATTCCTAAGAATCATCTAATCTATGCTCCTAAGAATCATCTAATCTATGCCCATATATCCTTCCAACATTACATCTTTTAACCCACTTATCTTTAAGGAGAATAAAATTATCTCCACCTTCAATAATTATCTAATTATATAATATACAATCGGTAAGTAATATGTTAAGCTGGTTTTTAAATGGAAAGTAAGGCTCATACTTTATAATTGCAATTCTTTAATGAATCAACTACATGTCCCACATTTGCGCATTGCAATGAGCGTCAGAGATTGGATAACTCTTTATGATTTATAGTTCTATTGCAGCTAAACTCCTTTTGGTGGTATTTTGCGACATAATATGAAGAAAAAAAAAACTTTTTGGGTTGAGTGATTGCTATCAACTAGATATATATATATACCTATAATATTTTGTTATTTATAATATTTCAAGAATCAAAACTACTTGCAAAACTTTATGTGGACACAATTTATGTGAATTTTAGAACACACAAATAAGTAACTCACTTTAGTTCATTTCTAAGAACAATTTTATCATGAGCTGAATCTTTTCTACTAAAACTTACGTAATTTGAGGTACTCTTGTCTTAATGCACATTTCATCTATTGTGCCAAAACAATCTTATTTTACTTAACTATATTAGTATGAGTGTTATAAATAAAAAAGTAATAATTTTAAATATTATGTATGATTGTACCATATTAAAATGTATATGTTGTTTAGATTAGTGGAGACTTAATTAATTCATTATGCAACTTACTTAAGGCATATAATTAAATATTCAAGTACATAATGGCATTTTTTTAAAATCATTAAAAGTTGAGTCGAATGACTTAATTATAAACATTAATTTCAAGCGTATGCAGAAAAAAACAAAACTAGACTTTAGCACAAACCTAAAATGTCAACAATAGCCTTTTGATTCACATCATGTTATATAATTTTAAAAAAATGTTCTTTCCTCATGTGCACCATGTTTACACAATCAAAATTGATTATGAAGTATAGGTTATAGAGATATAATTAATGTTCTATATTTAATTCTAGATTAAAATTTCTCCTTTTTTTCCAATCTCTTACAATAATAAAAATAAAATATTCACTACGTCATTGCTTACTTACTAAATGAATAGTTGAATAGTATCAATTACCAGAATCCCATAAGTCAATCAAATTGATGTTGACCTCATTTTTTTTTAGCTATGTTTCCTTCTAGAGCCTATGATCTAGCCATAAGACTTCTTTGCTGACTCTTCTAGATGATTGATATTAGGACCAACACCATTTAGAAATTTGAATCACTTCTTGACTAATTATAGTTTCACATGTGTGGTTTCAAATCCTCGACATCTAGTAGAGTTGATTGGAACCAACATATTTAAACTCAAGTTGAGTTCCTATAATGATTGAAAATGCCTTAGGAAAACCTTTTAGACTTAGAGGCACCACATACATGCACACACACATAAATGCCACAATTCACATCGACTACACGTACATACACTTCACCGTTAAATAAAAAAAATCATAATTAAAAAAATCAATCACAAAACCAAAATTTAAGGAAAACCTAACTTGATTCATTTCTTACACGAATTTGAGACCCTCTGGCGTGGGTCGAGAGACACACTGCTGGGACTGTTCTAATGGACTTTGCTTATCGCTTAGGAAAGGACCAGGTCAACATTTTGCTTGTTGGATGACCCCGATTAGATCGAAGAACCTTGTTCGTCGTGTCGATTCCAAAATAGATTTAAACTGACCCGATCGTCGATGAAATTGTCCAGATGACCCTGAAGGACAAAAAGGACTATACGAGCGCATCCGTAACGTCGAATTTATCTAGGAAGAACATCCATGTTGATATAATTCTCAACGGGAGCAAACTACACACAAATTGATGTGTTTAAATATTAAAAAAAAATCTTTAAATAATAAAAAAAAGAACGTGACACACACGCCCATCTCTCTCACTTGACTCCTCTCCCTCATGCGTGCTCTAGCCTGCCTTGCTTGGCCCTCTCTCTCTCTCTCTTCGGCCCAAAGCCCTTGCTCGTTCTATCTTCTTCCTCACGACATATGGAGGTGACTTTTCATCCTCTCTATCTGAAGCTTCTCATCCCCTCTATGCCCAAATCCTTTGCTCCGTTCAACTTATATGACCGAATGTTGCTTCCCCTCAAATTTCCTATTTTGGTAGGTTCTCAGCCCCCAAGTCTCTCGACCTCAAAGCATTCGCTCGGCTAAACCGCCTCCCTCCATACCTGACCACGACAATACCTTGGCACGATCTCCCCACTATCTTCTGCGCTCACTATTTTGTCCCAATACAAGAGTTTGCCCTCATAGAGACATATTAGACCCTATAATAAAATAAATTTTATCTTAACACGTTGTCGGCACTATTTTTGGTGTGGGGTTTGCCCGTAAGAAGCTGTCGGTTATCGGAATTGAAATCTCGTTGCCCGCTTTGGAAGGACATTTTAAAAATTTTAATTTTGAAAAAGATGAAGTCAAACTAACCCCATAATTTTCATAGTTTAGATGAAAGAGCGTTTTACCTCAAATCCTGTATCTATCCCGAAGGATGAACACAAGAATTGAGGGTGAGGCTCGATCAAATAAACTAGAGAAAGTTATGACATCCGTTTGGTCTGCGAAACCAATGTATTAGCCGACAAATTCTCCTATTTAATATAAGGAATTAAATAGGGTTTATATTATGTTGGGTTCGGGAAAAAGCTTCCTATAAGGGCAAGCCCCTATAGTTAATTACATCTTAGGTAACAAAAGTTACCTAAGAATACTCTCGATAAAAATCAAGAAAAATTATCTTCAAGGAGTTCAAATGGTAAGGACATTTCAAAGATATCGGACTAAGAAGTGTGAAAGGGGATTGGTTCAAATTTTGAACATTTTATTTTGGAGTCCAAAGGAGGAAACACTAGAG